GGAAACGTTAAACGTTTAAACGTTTTAAACGGTTTTAAACGGTTAAACGGTAAGGTAAGGTAAGGTAAGGTAACGAACGTAACTAAACTAAACTAAACTAAGTAAGTAGTAGTATATATATATATATATATATATATATATATATATATATATATATATATATATATGTATGTATATATGTAACATTTTTTTTGGCTATTGCCGTTGGTTATGAAACTATGCAGCATGACTGTGTGCACTGAACCGCTACCGTGCATCTATGCAGCAAATCGATAATTGGACATCGGATCAATTGAACTGAACCATTGGAATAAGAGAACGAAACAGGTTCGACCGAATACACTAGCTTACTTCCATCGATTACACGAAGACTACTTTCATCGATTACACCAACCCCGATTTCATCTAACATCATCTACACTAACACCACTCACGTCATCTACACTAACACCACTTACGTCGACCACATTGACGAGGATGACGTTGTCTGTGGGTCTGACGAAGTCCTTGAACGCCCACTCTACCGCATAAACGCCCCCTTCGCTGTTGTTGACGGCCACGACTATTGTTCTGGGAGCCATGGTGAGTTGGTGACCTTTGGTTGAGTGTGCGTTGGGTTGCTGGTTAGTTTGAGCGTTGGGTTGTTGGTTAGTTTGTGCCGAGTCTTTGTGACTATTGATATGCGTAATCCTTAAGACGAGGCACTTACGTCAATGCGTGTGGTATTTATTTGGTCTACGAACACTAACCCATAAACATAGTATTTACATAAATAAATATGAATGATTCGAATGTTCTATGGTAATCGAGAGGCGACTTCATCAAATAGTGACATGATGACAGGTATATGGCACCTTGGCTTTACCTAAATAGGTACCTGGGACGAACACTAAATTAGTACATTTTGGGATATTTTGGGTTTAGGGTTTCATACGGCTCCCGCTAAAATACATCTAAACAAGTATAGTGTCCTTGTAAATATTTAGTTGTCCAGACCATTTTTTAGGGCCGATAATATAATTGACGTGTATTTGTTTCCCAATGCTTTATGACCTCGGTTGATGATTGAGGAGGGGTACAAACTAGCGTACGGGCTATTGTTTGTGAATGTATGCGTGCAGTGATATATACCATACCCTCTCTTAGTATTACAGTCCTATTGTACCTCTGAGCTTCAGGGACCAATATGGCGGCTCTAGAGAGTGCCGGTGGTGCGCATGGGAATGGTTTGTCGCTTACGAATGCGTTCAACAGCACACTCAGTAATGTGTTTGCATTACAAGACCATGCACCCAACTTCTGGGGTTTGGAAATCGATACTACGAAGAACGATACACTATTCAAAAGGCCACCCAACGGCACAGACGCATTCCTAACCAGTTGTGCATTCAACACGGGGGTTTTCATCCTGGGTGCGCTGGCCTTCTGCTGCATCAGACAGAAGTTTCCAGGTGTGTTGTATGTGCCCACTCTGTGCCCAATGTGTGGTACAGTGGGTGTGAACGCCCACATTGTATGTCGCCTGTTTGGTTGGGTTTGCGATGGCGTTCAAGAGCACTTTACTGTTTCTCTGTGCGTCTGAATAGCAATTCAACGCACGTTCATAGCATTGCGCTGCACTTTAGCTTGGTGACTTGGTGGCTGGTGTGTACTATAATTATCAAGATGATGTGACAATAATTAATGATAGAAGCTCTGAGTATATGTATGGGCTATGATTTCCGGCGTATTCGTTTTGTGATGCATACACGATATTGATGTGGATCATAATTCGAGAGCTTGGATTGGGTTAATTGGTCAGCTGTGCCTAGTAAAAGCACGATTGTATACATAAATGAACCAATGAGCTATCTAGCATCAAATTTGTATGTATAAATGAACCAATGAATTATGCATCAGTACAGTTGTATGTATATATGAACCAATGAGTTATTTATCAGTACAGTTATATGCATATATGAACCAATGAGTTATATATCACTACAGTTGTATGTATATATTAACCAATGAGTTATCTATCAGTACAGTTGTATGTATATATGAACCAATGAGTTATCTATCAGTACAGTTGTATGTATATATGAACCAATGAGTTATCTATGACTACAGTTGTATGTATATAAGAACCAATGAGTTATCTATCAGTACAATTGTATGTATAAATGAACCAATGAGTTATCTATCAGTACAGTTGTATGTATATATGAACCAATGAGTGATCTATCAGTACAGTTGTATGTATATATGAACCAATGAGTTATCTACCAGTACAGTTGTATACATACATGAACCAATGAGTTATCTATCAGTAGTTGTATGCATACATGAACCAATGAGTTATCTATCACTACAGTTGTATGTATATATGAACCAATGAGTTATCTATCAGTACAGTTGTATGTATAAATGAACTTATGAGATATCTATCAGTACAATGGTATACATAAATCAACCAATGAGTTATCTGGCAGTACAGTTGTATGAATATATGAACCAATGAGTTATCTATCACTACAGTTGTATGTATATATAAACCAATGCGTGGTCTAACAGTATAGTTGTATGTATAAATGAACCAATGATTAATCTATCAGTACAGTTGTATACATAAATGAACCAATGAGTTATCTATCGCTACAGTTGTATGTATATATTAACCAACGCGTAGTCTATCAGTACAGTTGTATTTATAAATGAACCAGTGATTAATCTATCAGTACAGTTGTATACATAAATGAACCAATAAGTTATCGGATCTTATTTTTTAGAATTTGGAAATTTTGTATTTATCTTCTGGCGTTAAGTGCTGGTAAGCTTTGGTTACATCGTCTACGTACACGTTGACGAATGCATCGAGAGTAGCAGTTATAAATAAGCACTCGACCTTTGTGTGTGTATGTCTAGTGTACGTTTAGCACTCATCTTGTGCATCAATAGCAGTAGTAACGGATAAGTACTCGACCGTAAACACTGTGTGTGAATGTGTAGTGTACGTTTAGGAGTCATCATGTCCATCAATAGAGTTTATTGGTTAGGTTTTAGGGTGCTAAACCCTAAAAACCCTTAAACTCTAAAATCCTAAAAGAATAATAGCAGATATGTACATCAATCTCATCATGTGCTGAAAAGAGTGCGCATCGTTAGAGGACATATCGTTGACGAATGTCATCACCATTCCTCACCCAACACACTATGTACAACGGATACCCCACATGACCATATGATCTACAGATATCTACCAACCACTCTACACCCAACACACTTACAACGAATACCTCACAAAAACCCTATAACCCTATAACCCTAAATCTAATCTACAGATATCTACCAACCACTCTGCACCCAACACACTTACAACGAATACCTATAAAAAAAAACCCTATAACCTTATAACCCTAAATCTAATCTACAGATATCTACCAACCACGCTGTACCAAACAAGTGCCACTGCAGCAACGCCCCCAGGCCCCGCCCAAGGGATGGTTTAGATGGATACAAACTGTGTACTACATAACAGGTGTGTGCACACCACAGAAACGATTTCATTACAGATACCATATGTTTATTTTTCACTTACCCTGAACCCTACACTCTAAAACATCTGCCTATCAACACTGCAACATATGTTTACATCAAAAGGATAATATACCGCACAGTTGACTGTTGAGTGGCATCTTATCATCCCATGTCAGCTGTTCATATGTGCGGAGTGTGTGGCATGCCATGTGTGCACGCCATCCGAAGTTCGGCCCCAAATCCAACACAACGATCACTTCCTTCTCGATGGCAATAACTCTGTGCGTAAGAGCAGATCCCACAGACTGGTCAGTCCACCATCTGTGTCACGTGGGGTGATTGCGCATATTTGTGTTCATTTGTACACGCGCAGGTGCTAGCGAATCACCGTTCAACTGCTGACAGCATCACACACACACCATCGTAAGGCCACATGACGGCTCATGCAGTGATGTGCACGCACTCACATTGATACTAACAGCTATGATATCCACGCTTTCGCTCGTGCTAATGCCTACGCCACAGAGGAAGACATCTACCAGTCGGCTGGATTGGATGCGGTCATGTTCCTGCGTATCATATGGCTCGGTATGGCGATATTCGGTACCTTCACAGTGTACGGCGTGCTTGTGCTGATTCCCATGAATGCGGTGAGTAGCCGTGCGCGTGTGCTGAGCTATACGGTGCGAGTACCTAGGAAGTGACCTCTCTGTATCTTTGTACTGCTATTCTTAAATCGAGTGCTAGGTATATTGGAGTCACCTGAGTGGTGTGAGCAATGTTAGGGAAAGCGTGTGTGTGTACTTTTGAGTTGGCTAAGCTGTGTACAGCATGGCTATAGGTTAGGTAGAGTTTTAGGGTTAGCGTTTTAGTTTCGGTATAGTTGACTGTCATGGATGCGAAATATGACAGTATATGTGAGATAGGGGTTTAGGCTTTTATGCTATTTTTCTGGGTTGTCTTGAGTATCAGATGGAGTGGGTGGTTGAATGTTGAGTGTTTGGGATGTGGCTGTGTGATCGTGTGAGCTGTGGGTGTGGTTGAGGTCCCATCTGAGTTGTCTGGCAGTAGTTATGATACGTTTGTGCACGTGGTCTGAGTGTCCATAATTGTAGCTACTGGGATTCAACGAATGTCAGGTTTGTATCTGGCGTATATATATGACACATTAATGTGTGGATGGTCAGGTGTGTTTTTATACTTCGTTAGGTACGGCATAGTTTGAGTGCTGAGCTGTAGCTAAGTGATTGTAAGCCCCATTCTCCTTCTGTTTTTATAGGCTTTAGCCCCGTTTTATGTGTGCTTTTAGTTATTGTTGGTCCTAATGTTCTGCTTGTTCTTTCTGCAGTGGGGTTCAGGTGAAGGCGAAGGCATTGAGAAGTTGAGCATGTCGAACATCTCAGCCGACATTGACCGGGTTTGTTCCATTGGAATGTTAGCACATTCACAAGAACTGTTTATTTCCATGAAAGATAAGCCTCGATCAGTTTTAGGGTTTTAGGGTTGGGTTTCAGTCATGGAAGTGCATATCTGTATAAGTGGCGTGGATGGTAGAATCTATTTTTAGTACAGGATATACTATTGAACTGAACATTAAGCGAACAGTACTGGGATTCGTTGTAGTGCTTTAGTCATAGTCCGATGGCTGATACTTCCATCGAGGGGTTTTCTGTGTCTGATTCTGCCTAACACAAAGACGTTAGCTTGTTTTGTGAATGTGTGCGTTTGTGTTGCTGTGCATTGCATGTCCTGTCTCCTTGTGATCATGTCTGTGTTCTAGTGCTGCTTAGATACATCTCTCTCTCCCTCTCACTGTTTGTGTGATAGTTTGCTCATGTTCTGTCTCCTTGTGATCATCTGTGTGTGCTAGTGCTGTTGAGATACACTTTGGTGTCGTCTGATGACTGCAGTGAACTCTCTCTCTCTCTCTCTCTCTCTCTCTGTTTGTGTGATAGTTTGCTTATGTTCTTAATTGTGTGAATGTAATCACCGTGTGCTAGTGCTGTTGAGATACACTTTGGTGTTGTCTGAAGACTGCTGTGGCTCTCTCTCTCTCTCTCTCTCTCTCTGTTTGTGTGATAGTTTTCTCATGTTCTTAATTGTGTGGATGTAGTCATAGGAAACTAAAGTCGTCGTGGTCTGTTGTGGGGTGTTCTGTGGGTTCGTTGCTTTGGCGACCTGAAGGGTTTAGCGCTGCTACGCGTGCAACTGCAAATGGCACGCGTCTGCCATGGAGTGACACTGTCTTTTCTCACAGCACCTTTTTTTTTCTTATCAATCTGCGCAGAAAATTGTCTACTTTCATGCGCTGGGGATCTATCTGTTTTCCTTCTGTGTGTTCTGGTACTGTCAGAAGACATACGTGTGGTACATCCAAATGCGCCAGGTGGGTGGTTGATTGACATGTTTTAGGATTTTTTTATTGACATCTTTTAGGGTTTTTAGGTAAAACACTTAGCAATGCGGTGACTACCATTACTTCAATTAAACCATGAATCCAAACTATTACCATAAAGACACACTCCATGCACTGCTGCTGTGTGGCAAGTGGCTGATATTACTCACAGTGACCTGGGATTGTACACACTTGTCTGTTGTTCTGTACAGAGGTTTCTCAGAGGCACTCAGCCTAATCTCTACAGTGTAATGGTGCGCAATCTACCGAAGCACCTGCAATCAAGCACAGCCCTGGCAAACGAAATGGAAGACATCTTTCCAGGGTATATATATATATATATATATATATATATATATATATATATATATTTGTGTGTGTAGTTGTGTGT